GAACAGGAGGAAACAAATGGGCAAGGGGGCCACTGCTCAACAGCTCAGGAGAGCTGGGTACCGGCACCCAGGAGAAAGCTGAACTCCTGAATGATTACTTTGCCTCGGCCTTCCACCGGGCCAAGGGGAAAATCACGCCAGCTAGGGTACAGAATAAGCAGGGTCCAAAGGATCGCCTTTCTACTATTGCTGAGGAACTGGTGTGTGGTCAATTAAAGAAATTGGACGTATATAAGTCAGCGGGACCGGACGGTCTGCATCCGAGAGCGCTGAAGGAGCTAGCCGAAGTCATTGCGGAGCCCCCGGCGAAACTCTCCCACACCTCGTGGCGCTCAGGAGAGGTCCCCGAGCGCTGGGAGAGGGCCAGCGCTGTGCCCATCCACAAGCAGGGCAGGAGGGAGGGCCCGGGTGACTATAGGCCGATTACCCTGACTTCCATCCTGGGGAAAATGCTAGAAAAGTCCATCAAGCAGCCTGTCTGCGATCAGCTTGCAGAAGGCTGGATCCTGAACGACAGCCAGCGTGGCTTCACCATGGGCAGGTCTTGCCTTACCAGCCTCACCTCCTTCTGCGACCAGGTAACTCGCCACCTGGGCACGAGAGAGGAGGTTGACACTCTATAACTCGACTTCCAAAGAGCTTTTGATCTGGTATCCCATGATGTTCTCGTGAAAAAATTGGAAGACCGTGGGCTTCACTGCGAGACAGCCAGGTGGGTGGGGAACTGGCTGCAGGATAAGACCCAGAGAGTCGTAGCGAACAGATCTGTGTCATCGTGGCGGGAAGTGGGCAGCGGTGTCCCGCAGGGGTGGTGCTGGGTCCAGTGCTTTTCAACATCTTTGTCAATGATTTGGACGTGGGGGCGAAGAGCTCACTGGCCAGTTTGCAGACAACACCAAGTCATGGGGAAGCGTGGTCACGCTTGACGATAGTCTACAGATACAGGTGGACCTAGACAGGTTTGTAAGTTGGGCGGACCGGAACCAGATGAAGTTCAACGTCGAGAAATGTAGTCTCCACCTTGGGACGAGCAACCCCCTCCCTGCACACCTTCAGGCTTGGCAATGATAATACTAGCATAATAGCAATGGTAATAACATCAGTAATGGAGGTCTTACTACTACTAATATTCATAATAATAACAACAAGCATGATGGCAACAGTGGTAGTAATATTAGTAATGGCGATGTTAACACTACTGCTAATGGTAATAAGAATGACAGTAATTGTGATAGCAATAGTGGTAGTAATAGTAGCAGGATTGGTAATGCTCATATTAATACTACTGCTGTTAGAATAACTAATCACAATGGCAACAGTGGTCATAATAATAGCATTAATATTAGTAATGCTGTTATTAATATGACTACGAAGTTATAATAGTAAGCACGATAACAGTGGTAGTAGTATGAGTAATATTAGGAACGGTCGTGGTAGTGCTACTGAGTAATACTCGATCACCTACTGAGGTCCCTTCTGTCCCTGACATCTATGAATCTACTGCTAATAGCCATAGTAGTAATCAGACCAGTTGGGGAAGGGTAAAGATACTCTACTGATACTCCAGCAGCAGTAGGTAGGCCAGCCCCAGCCACACAGGTACCTGGGTAGTAACAGCAGCAGTAACAGGCACGGGAGTAGGAAGTGGGGTAGTAACAATAGGATGACACTCAGGAGAGCAGGGGTAACAGCGGGGGTGGCGGGGGCAGTGTGGGGTAGTAGTACTACTGCTAATACTCAGGACATTAGTGAGGTGTGAAGCTCCCACCCTGGGCTTCCAGTGCCCCACTCCATACCGGGCTGGGAAGGGGGGCCGGGAGCCCTGGGTGCTCTCCTAGGTTCCCCGTTAGGGCCACGCCCACGTTGGAGGGAGGGGCATGCAGCTGCTATGCTAATAGGGGGGAGGGATGTGTCGAGAGGGAGCCGAATATTATGCAAAGTAGGTGACGTCAGGGCGGGGGAGGCCATGACGGTGGGAACTGATGCAAATGAGGCGCTTGGGTGGGGGGAGGCCCCGCTTGGGCACAGGGGAGGGGGAAAGGCGATATGCTGATAAGGGGATGGGGCTTATGCAAATGAAGGGGCGCGGAGCACCTCCACGCTACTTCTATGCAAAACAAAAGGGGGAGGGGTTTCAGATATGCTAATAAGGAGGGGAACCGAATGTATTATGCAAATGAGGGGACTTGGGGCGGCCTCCGGCGCTGCGGGAAGGGGCGGGGCCAGAGCGCTGCGGGGCGGAGCTGTGTGCGAATTAGCTGAGAGTGCTGCCAGGGGAGAGGCGGGGATATGCAAATGTCAGAACGGTGGCTTAGGCCGGGCAGGGTCTCAAAGGGATGGGCGGGGCTATTCAAATATAACTCGGAGAACCACCCATGCACGGCTGGGGCTTCCCCGGCGGGGCGGAGACATGTAAATGAACGGAACACTGGCCAGGCCCGCTCCGGGGTGGTAGGCTGGGTCTTCCGTGGGCGTGGGGGGGGCGGGACCATGCAAATAAGCAGAATGGTCCTGGGAGGGAGGCGGAGCTATGGAAACGAGCAGGTCATTGGCGCCTGGGTGGGGTCGCGGTGTCTACCGGACGGGCGGAGCCAACGTTCCCTCCGGTGGTGGGGGAGGCGGAGCCATGCAAATGAGGACAACCTTCCCACGCTGTGGGGTGACAACAGGGTGTATACGAGGGGGCGGAACCATGCAAATGAGCCGAACGTTCCTGCGGGCCGGGGGTATGCACGGTGTCAGCCGGGTGGGGGGAGCCATGCAAATCAGCAGAACGCTCGCGGGGAGGGGGCACGGAGTGTTCCAGGCGGGGAGAGGCGGTGCCATGCAAATGAGGCGCGCGCTGGCGGGGAGGGAGCGCCGCGGCGCATGGGGCGGG